TCATTACATCATGTAAGAAAAGGGTATCCGTGTCAGCATTGAGCTTGAAGTATATGCTTCTATATTTAGTTTCTGTACATTTGTGCCATGGTTTAAACTTAAAGTATATACCTTAAAGTATATTTACATTTATGGGAGACAAAACATATTTTGTAGAATAAATAATAAACAGCTATTTTATATAAAATAAAATGTGAAGACCTAATTAAATATTAAACAGCACTGTACTAAAGAGAGCCACGTATTTCTGTTACTTTTGATATCTACCGCTCCCACTACCGCTAAAACCTGCTTATGTACCGGGGGTAAGGGCGTCCCAGTCTCTAGATATTCACGGGCCCCCATGTGTTGCGCCACTGGTCACAGAGACACATAAGGTGTTGCCGAACATTCGAGACGTCCACTGCTTGTTTAGGTTCTCTTCATGTTTTGTGGTTAACATCGGTTAACCTAGTCACACGATTACACGGGGAACTAGGCCCGTCCACTGCTTGTTTAGGTTCTCTTCATGTTTTGTGGTTAACATCGGTTAACCTAGTCACACGATTACACGGGGAACTAGGCCCGTCCACTGCTTGTTTAGGTTCTCTTCATGTTTTGTGGTTAACATCGGTTAACCTAGTCACACGATTACACGGGGAACTAGGCCCGTCCACTGCTTGATTAGGTTCTCTTCATGTTTTGTGGTTGACATCGGTTAACCTAGTCACACGATTACACGGGGAACTAGGCCCGTCCACTGCTTGATTAGGTTCTCTTCATGTTTTGTGGTTAACATCGGTTAACCTAGTCACACGATTACACGGGGAACTAGGCCCGTCCACTGCTTGATTAGGTTCTCTTCATGTTTTGTGGTTAACATCGGTTAACCTAGTCACACGATTACACGGGGAACTAGGCCCGTCCACTGCTTGATTAGGTTCTCTTCATGTTTTGTGGTTAACATCGGTTAACCTAGTCACACGATTACACGGGGAACTAGGCGACAGGAAAATAATAATCATTAAAAAAGTTTTAAAAAACCCACGTTTTCTGATTGAACTAAAAAGTAGAAAATAAATACTATACATACAATAATGCAAGCGATCACTCTACTATAAGCTATCAAAAACGTGGGTCGCCGAAGTAAAAGTTATATTACTATTGATTAGATAATACTATTGACTTTTATTAGGGAGCTTGTAGAGAGTCAACAGTATTAGAAACTGTAAGAAAATCACGGCGCCCCACGTTTTTGATAGCTTATAGTAGAGTGATCGCTTGCATTATTGTATGTATAGTATTTATTTTCTACTTTTTAGTTCAATCAGAAAACGTGGGTTTTTTAAAACTTTTTTAATGATTATTATTTTCTACTTTTTAGTCTTTGTCTGTTTGTTTGCATTAAAATCTTGCTATCGATTTTATCTTTTCACTTTTTTTTTGGGTAAACGAAGACAACTCGTAAAAAGACAACTCGTAAAAAGACAACTCGTAAAAAGACAACTCGTAAAAAGACAACTCGTAAAAAACATGTTGTTTGAATACGTTACTGACTAGAACACATAGATTTGAACCCGTGTCGAGTGGGATAGCAATCGTGTGCCCAACCACTCGACCATATCGTCTCCCCCAAACTGGCCTACCTCCTGTAAGTTTAAACTCGGTTCAAGCTAAATTCTCTGCCCCTAAGCCTGTGGCGACATGTGATCGTTCGCTTCACTGCGCGCGAGGTACGCGTCGCTGGTTTTTTTTCTAATGGCTAGCAGAGGATAATTATATATATAGATTATATAGCGGTCTAAAATGCTCAATACAATGTTTCCATTGATCAATTTAGTAATAATAACAATTGAATATTCAATGGTCATCCAAAAGAAAGCTTCCCTGAAAATTTCAGCGCGCTAGCTAACTGGGAAGTGCCAGAAATTTCGATCGCAAGATTTGATTGGAAAGACAAACAAACACACAAACAGAGAAAGCAAGTTAAAGAAAACGTGGGAAAATATTGTGACATCTGGTGAGAAGCAGTTAGTCAGCATTGGGGAGGTCAACTCAGGCTAGTCTCGTCTTGGTTAGGTCAACTCAGGCTAGCCTCGTCTTGGTTAGGTCAACTCAGGTTAGTCTCGTCTTGGTTAGGTGAGCATAGATCAGATTCGCCACATTATGGATAAATAACTAGCCTCGATCTGATTTAGTAAAGATGAATTTAAAAAAAAAAACGTTCAAAGTTCATCATTCAATCCAACGCTAGGCTCTCAAGTTGTACATGCGTTCAAATCACGAAATGCGGTCTGAGCCAAGGACATGACATCAATAAGCAGATAAATAGCACTTGGGCCAGAGGAAAAGTCAATACACGGCATTATATTGACAGCTCTAAGACATGCAGCGGTGGATCTCACACTGTCACAAGCAACCTACAACTTTCTAACTACACAAACTGACATGACACTGTCACAATGTTACAGCTCAGGCAACCTTACAACTTTCTAACTACACAAACTGACATGACACTGTCACAATGTTACAGCTCAGGCAACCTTACAACTTTCTAAATACACAAACTGACATGACACTGTCACAATGTTACAGCTCAGGCAACCCTACAACTTTCTAACTACACAAACTGACATGACACTGTCACAATGTTACAGCTCAGGCAACCCTACAACTTTCTAACTACACAAACTGACATGACACTGTCACAATGTTACAGCTCAGGCAACCTTACAACTTTCTAACTACACAAACTGACATGACACTGTCACAATACCAAGGGAAAGCTTAGGTTGTCTTTATAACTATCTAATTACACAAACTAAATGACACAGTGTGAGTAACATTCAATAAATGTAGGCCATGTGTGCCAGGGCTATAAATAGAGTATTATATTACATCTACCATACTTCATCAATTTCAAACAATATGTTACTCTATACATATTATTTCAAGAAGGAATAAAACAAAAATATAACCATTTTATAGTTCAATTATAAAATGATATCAAATGGTCTTTTATTAACAGGTATAACATACTGACACTTCTCTGCCTCACCAACTGCAGTCACTATTGACAAATGTTTTTTTACTCAAGTTTTATGTCTTAATGTAGCCACTTATTCCCAGTATTGGAGGAGAGCTATCAATTGTACACAGACCAGCCCCCCAAAACACACACACTCATATATATACTAGCTGCATACCCGAGCTCTGCAACAGTAAATCTTTTTTAAATGTACCAACTTGGGAACAGAACAAAACAAAACACAAATACAACACAAAAGAAAACACAAACACAACACAAACACAATGCAAACACAAACGCAACACACAAACGACAACACTCATCAATTTGCATTCACATTTTGCTAATTCTATTATTGCAACACTAATTCCTTCTCGGATGTTTGTAGATTTTGCATTCATATTTTTGTTTAAATTAGCGTGAGTTGAATTTAGTTTTATTAAATTACATCCCTTGGAAAATGACAAAACAGTTTAATTAATTCGTTTTTTCGACCATATTATTAAAATGTATCCACTTTTTCTAGGAATCTAAACGAAAATGATATTTGAAATTGATCCGCTTAATATGTTTTTGCAATGTGCGTGTATTTAATATTTTCTTTACATTATGCGAAAAAGTAAAAACAGTGGCAACTATAAAATAAATTTAAGTCGTTATATAAACAAAGCCTACTGTATCACTTATAATAAGACAATGTGATGCACTGAAAATTGAAAAGCACTGCATGGTGCAATGTTTACATTTATGGTTCCAAAATCTATAGCCTTTAACGTTTTAACTAACAATGTCAATAATAAACAAACAGAACAGCTGGAACCATGATTTATCTTTTAAAATGGACATGGTATTGGTATCATGAAAATTATGCCTTGTATGCCCAGAATCGACAAAGCAGAACATTTTACTGGGGCCGGTCAAATCTGATTAGATCTACCTAGAGATCTAACGAAAGAAAAAAATATAGGCCAAAATTATCCATGCAAGTAAAATTTCAGGACATTTTACAAAATTTCAGGAGAAATGTTAAAATTCCAGGAGAAATTCAGGAGTTTTCTGGATTTTTAAAATTCAAGGAGAATTCCAGGACATTCTGAAATTTCAGGAGGCCGCGGGAACCCTGTATAGTACACTATATTTGTAATATTGTAATGTTGATATAGATTATAGGCCTACTATCCTTGTCATTTATAATACATTTTTGAAGTTTGTATCATTTTCTGGTTTGAACAATGAGTCTTAGTGCGTGTTGAAAGTGATTGTTGTCGGTACTAGACCAGAGTTTCCTCCAGGCATCTCTTAGCCCCCCCGAAAATTTTTTACCGCCCCCCCCCCCCCCCCCCCCGAACGAAATGAAATTTATATAATTTATATAGAAAATATATACTTTTAACAGTGTCCGCCCCCCCGAAGAAAGTTTACCGCCCCCCCGAGAATTTCAAGTGCCCCCCCGGAGAAAAAAGTCTGGAAGAAACACTGTACTAGACCAATTTACAATAACTTTTATAGTGTTCAATTTGTATTCACTATTAGTACATTTTTTGTATAGGCCTACAAGTTATGTTTCATAATAAGCCCACTTCAAGTATGGCGCCAATGCTGTCCCTTTACACTTTTCAGCTGTGTTATTAGGTTTTAAAGAATGTTTAATTGAATAATTAGCTAGGGTTCACAGTAGGAGCTAACTAGCTTGGTCAATGTAAAATGCAATGGTGGGCTATAGGACATGTTTTATTATGTGAAAAACATAACTGAACTGAAAATGTAGGCTATTAATTAAATCAACCTAATATCCTTGTCTAATCATGTCTATGTCAGAGATCATTTTTGCTTACCAGCTAGATTTTATCTAGACGGCATGATATTCTACAATAGTATTATTACATTCATAAAGGCCTCTATACCCCTAGTACAATTAAATTAGTAAATAATTAATTAGGGCCTATTAATTATGGGCCTAAAATCTAAATCAAGAGTAACGGTTAAGACTTACCAGTAGTTCTTCATGCAATTCTGCAAGAGTTGGTCTTGCCTTAAGATTACCACCAGTTGCAGAAAAAATATTTCTATAATGATCAACACAAGGCAGAGCTTCAATTGTATTCATAACACAATTTGTTTTAGTATATTCTAAAGATCCTCGGCTTCTCATAGAATCACCACTGATTGAAAAAGTTGCACAAGGTGATTCTGGACAATTATTTAAATCAACTCGTCCATCTTGACTTGAAGTACTATTGCTTGTGTCGATGTTAGGTAGGACTACTGATTTTTTTTTATGATCAGGTGATTTTTTTCTATTTGAGCCAAGTGGATCATTCGTATCTACCAAGTTTTCTCTGGCTTCGTCATCTTTTGAATCCACTCTAGCTACTTGGAAGCGGGATCCACTTTTCTTCATTTCTTCTGTATTTAATTCCATGCTGAATGAAAATTATTTGTAACGTATGTTTACTAGGTATTCATTTACAGTAATAACTAGCACTAGTAATTTATAAAAACAACTCCAAATTTAATCTAAAGAACAGATATGCTGTTATCAGTTGAACATACGAATTAATGATAGATCTAGAATCTAGATGTCACAACATCGTACAGACACAAGAAATGCTGGTCATAGACAAATAATTCATTGATTTTTATTTATATGCCAGGTACGAGTACCAGCTTAATATTATGTCTATTTTGTTTTTACCCAATGTATTAAGATAATACAAAAAAAGCAAATCACTCTTTAAATTTACATAGCGAAAATTGCAGATCTATTAATGAAATACATGTAAAACTCTACTACTGTTTTCAATTTTTTTTTTAAATAATAAGATTAAATTCCATCTAGTTTAAGTTATAAATATCAAGTGACGTACAGGCAATTAATGCACGCAAATTAAAAAGAGTAGTCTCCCATTTATTTACATTTAGATTTATTTAATTTATGACTTGACCGAAAAAAAAATTAACAAGAAGTTCATAATCTAGATCTAAATCATAGACAATACCATCTAGAATCTCCTGTATTGTCATAAAGAATGGAGAAAGATTCTAGAAATACGGTTTAATTAATTAAGTATAGTAGCCTTTTTCAATAATAATATGAACCAATCATGATTATTATAAATTTATTAGGCCAATATTCAATATAAATATAATGATATGATAGGCGTCACTATAGTATAATACTTATATTATACTTAACGTAACTATAGCCTAACTATCATAAGTAATATTATTAGTATAGAATATATCTAGCTAGCTAGGGTCTATACACTAGCATTGACTCTGCATGATATAATTATTAGTATTAAAATTTTTAAATTAAGCTTAAAAATTACATTGTTTTTCATCGTAAAAGTATCTTAGATTTAGATTCTTAGTAAATCCTTACTTTCAGACATGACAGTCACATTCCAGATAGTTCATGAAGAGATTTTTATATTGTCTATCACCTTTGCCTTTCTATCACAGAATAGGAAGAGGTCAATTACATAATTGGTGGTTCTGTTAACAAAACTGACTTACGGGTTCTGTGTTCTAACGCATTGTCACTTCTTTGCCAGCAGATGCACTACTAATTTGTGAATTAAATTTTCTCAACCTAACCCATACTGTGCTCAAGTTATGCTTACAGGATTACAATACTTCTATTCAATACTTATGAGAAAGTTTTTTTAAAAAAAAAGGGTTGGCTGTATCATGTTGGAACATGGAATTTTAGAACAGTGTAATAATTCAGTTTAATTTAGTTTAAAGCATAATTGCTAGGGAACATAGTATTAGTAGTGTAAAATATCCAGTAGAGAGGGTGATGTCAAAGCAATGTTAAATTTCATCAATAAAGCACTCATACCTCATTCATACTGAATAAAATTAACAAAGTCACAAATTGAACAAGATATTTTTTTCTTTTTTTTTTCATTTAAAGAGGCAGGAGGGAGCAGGACAGTAGTGATTTGTATATTTTTTTTTTACACTTAGTGCCATAGAATTGACATTACTAATGGTACTAAATAGTCAACCTATTCTGACTATTCAACATCATAAAACAACTGTATGCACTATATGTTCAAGAATAGTGGATAAAATTAATGCTGCGCATGACTATTGTCTCCACCAACTACCTTTAATCTTAACTGAACAAGTACTAAAAAATATTGGAGAGAAAAATTAGGTCGGATAGAAAATGAAAAACAACAACACAACAACAACAAAGAAAAGGTTTACTCAAAGTGGTAATAAATAATCATTCCTCTTTAACTGTAACATCATAAAACAGGCATGGGTGAACCAACATGCTTTCTTAATTGAAAGACAAAATCCCATCACCAAGCCACATATACCTATTGGTTTTACACCTTTTTTGAACTAGGATTTCTGTTCTTAAGCAAGGCAGTGCTGGCTTTTCCCCAACAGATGTTTTAAATACAAGTACATGTAGAAACTTTAATGTTAGCCTACTTCAGTTTTTAAAAATGTAACCATGCTGGAGTCATTTCTTTAAATCTGCTCACATGATTACTTTAAAGAAGTACTTGTAACAGACCATTGATAATACATCACTAACCAAAAGTGTCAAAAAGATATCAAAACTTTCGCTCACATCCTAATCAAGTTACAATTACCTACATTTTTTAAATGTTTAAATAACATGAACCAATCACATGCTTTAATTATAAATGTATAGTGGTGACACAAATAACAATAGGTCTACTCACATATTTCAGTTTCTTAATATTTTTTCAAATATAAAAAGATGACTCAGAATATGTGATATGACCATGACATTCATTTTCATTTGCAGCTTACATTATTGGTTCAAAATTATCTTTAAAAAACACCCACTTAACTAGAAACTGTATGCATCTTAAGAAAAAGTAAATTCAAATTAAAAAAAAAAAAGGTCAGCTAATGTTTTAATTATTATAAATACTGGTTGACTAGTACTATATTATATAAATAACTCAAAGAAAAAACCCATGTCTCTTATGTACAGTTAATACAGTGATTAAAACAAATGTAAGAATTCTTACAGATTCAGAGAAGTTTTGACAAAATTAAAATTAGGAAGGAGTTAATGGGTTAACAGCTAATTTGTTAAGTTGTAATTAATGGAATGTAAATAGATATAAGGGTGAGATAACTAAACTCAACCCTAAAAATGTATAATTTAAATAATATGACTTAACTGAATGCAAGGTAATTGAAACTTAAAAAGAAAACTATGCTGAATTTCTTTAACAGCTGACCTTTTATAATAATAATTTTTAAAAAAAAAGCGCAATTAAGTCTACAAAAATTGTCAAATGCTTTTCATCATAAATCTTTCATGATGTTTTTGTGCTGTAGAAATTTTCCTGAGGTTATTTTCTCAGTGAGCTAAGCTGGATAGTGTTAAATTTCTTTTATGACTAGCATTCAATTGCTAATACTAGAGACAAGCACTAGATTACAAAAATCATTGGTTTTCTTGCAATACATACTCTTACGTAATAGAAGTAGAAGAACAATACGAACTTCAACTTGTGTGATAACTGATGTTTCAAAGTTGATACACAAAACACACCATTTGACATAATAAATTAAACAGCTAGGAACAGATATTTGAGAAAGGCTATTGTAAACTCAGAGGTACGTTAAAATAAATACTGAAAGTTTTAGCTTGTACCAAACCCACATTGCATTTATCTAGCAAGACGGTTTTTGCTGTATCTTGTTCAATATTTTGCATATTTTATCAAACTTTCAGTGAGTACAAAAGCGTATTCTCACCATAAAATACATAAATATATAATATTATCAACATATAGAAAAAAGTTGAACAATCATTAAAAAAATAGTTATCTCATCTTCACATCAATTTTGATCTCAAACCAACATGTTTAGAACAAATTGTATAACAAGTTGTGTATATAATAGACACATTCTTTCACTCCTAAATCCAAAACATGATTTAAGGGGCGCAAAAAAAAAAAAAAAAAAAAAAAAAAAGAATCACAATAAATGTAGCACAATCTAAACATATTAAGTATTTTGTAACAAAACCAACCAACAATTAGGGCTTGGGCAATGCCAGCCTAGCATAGCGAGAAAATGACAGCAGGAATTTGTATGCTCAACTGAAAATTTTTTAAAAAGATTTGACAAGCAGTTAAATTTCAACAGGCTTTCGAGTATCCATCAAAGATCAATGAGAGAGCTTAACTTTTGACACTGCCCATGCATGAAAAATTATAGCAGCTGCTGAGGGGCACCTGGCCTTGTTCTTCTAGGAGCAGGTTGAGCTCTTGAGAATGTATTCATAAGGGAACGTACACGTCTTTGAGCAGACTGAGTGGCATAAAAATGGCCTATAATTGTAACTGGAACTTCATCAACATCTCCTTGCTCTTCCATTGGAAGTTGAACTATGGCACCGCTAACTCTCTGCATCTCTTTAACCTGCAACAGCATGAATATCTTAGGAATATTAAAAAATTCTATTGCAAGTGTGAAACTAATTTGCTAGTGTTTGAATTTGGGAATAGGACTCAAAAGTGTACAATTACAAGAATACAAGGTAGATCAAGGTAGCTATTCAAAAGTTAAGAGCTATGGAGACAAATGTAAAATTAAAATCTAATAAAATCAGTTGTTTTTCAGTATCTCTCGGCATCAAGTCATGTGACCAACTCCCTTAAATTTACCAAATTCTTCATGTTTGGACTTTGGACTTAGTGAACTATAAGGAAGATGAAGAAGAGCTAACGTTTCTTGCCCAACTGCTTTTCTCTAATGTGAGTCGAGAACTGGATGGACTCAGGGATGTAATACAGACAAGTCAGAGATTCAAACTTGAGACTTTTGGGTCTAGACCAGGCTGCTCTTCTACTTTCTTAGTAAAAAAATCTTATGATAAAGTTACGAGCAAGAACGTCTAAGAAGCATTTTTTTTTCACGCGCTTTTTGCAATTTGGTGAAAATATTTAGTATTTAAACTATTTTCCCATTAAAATAGAAAATGGACAAATCTTTCTAACCATGGTAGTAGAAAATGTGTATTTAAATGGATCTTTGAGCAAAATCATTTTTGCAGAAAACTTTAGAATTAATCTGTTTGAAATAAAATCTAAAAACCATACACACGCCAAGCTAATTTTTCAGTTCACCCTTACTTTACACGACACCCCCCCCCCCCCAAATTTAAATCAGAAATTTCAATTTTTCAACATTTGTTTTTAAAACTACATTTAATTCTGAGTATTTATTTTTGTATAATTACTTTGCTGGATTGAATGTTGCTGGTTTTTTTTTTAAAATATAATTTTTTTAAAATTAATTTGAGTAATGACTTCACCTATATTTAGCATAATTAAGCAACCTAACAATTAAAGAGCTGAAACAGCTGTTTTTTTTAACAGCAAAGTATTATTTAAACAATTTTATTTTACCAAATAAGTGACTTTCAGCAGTAAACAATATCTAATTAAAGGATTATAAATGAGTTACACAGAAAATATACTTACGTTTTGGCCACCCTTTCCAATTATCCTTCCAATACTCTGTTTTGGCACCATTATTTCTGTTCTCAAATGAACTTCATCATGTGCTGCTAGTCTCAACTCATTTTTAACTTTTTCAAAAATGTAGAACTGAGCCTTTTAAAGAACAATAGTGTTTCGTTTCAGTAAGGAAGGACACAAAATTTATAAATGTACATAGGTTTTAAATTAACTAAAAGCAAAAGGATTATAAAACTTTAAAAAAAACTTGGTTGAATGAAGTCGTTATGCTGCTAAAAAAAGGCCCAAACATGCTTTTTGCATATGTATCATTCCTAAACATGCTTTTTGCGTATGTATCATTCCTAAACATGCTTTGGACCTATGTTATTCTTAAACATGCTTTGGACCTATGTTATTCTTAAACATGCTTTTTACCCATGTATAATTCCAAAATAAGTTTAAAAATAAAAAATAAGTTTTATTATAACAATTAGCAAAACCATGTTAATGCCTTTGCTTATTTTAAAATTCTTTCTTTTTTTTAATAAAAACAAAAAAAAAAACTGGTTTTTGTTAAATAAATGGTTCCCTGAACCTTAAGGTCTCAAAACACAGTCTCATTTTTTCACTTATCCAAACAAAGGAACAAAAAATTTACTAAGATATATCAATCAAATTTTAACAGCAGTAATTATGACCTTACAGCTATAACTGTGCAATTGTAGGTAAAAAAAAACATGGGTCCATACCTCAATTTAATAAAATTATTTTTGAAAAATAAACCTATGCAAGATCCTTACAAAATTATGACAGGTACTTGATTATACAATCTAACAGTAATTGTTTTATTTTTTAAAATGTAATATTTCTATTTTTTTTTATGAATCTAAATTACTTTACCTCAATAATAAGTGATAGATGTATAAAGATATACTATTATAAATAGTTATCCTTAATACAAGCATGAGACAAATACTACTACACACATGCAATTCATGTAATAAACTTGTACGATGTTTATCATTCTCAATTACTATACTCAAGACTAAATTTATAAACATTTTATTTTAACTTTTTGATCCGAATTTCAATACAAAATTACCAAACCAGTGGGGAAAAAAAAAAGGTGGCCAACTTAAAATTTGATGAGGCAAAAAAATCAGAAAAAAGCAACTATTTTTATTTACCTTCCACTGGGCTTCAGGAGATCCAGAGATTACAGCTTTACGTTCATCACCTGAATGACTAAAGGGATTATTCTCTCCTGATCCATTTTTGTCATTGGCACCTAAAATCTAATTAATAAAAAATAAAATCAGAACCACATGAAGCAATGCAAAACATATTTTAAGGTATTTCGGGCATTAATTTTGTGGTTAAATGAATATTAAATTATCTCACCAGAAATAGAGTGAATAATTAATTAAACAAAATATGATAACTAAACTATACACATATTTAACTATTGATTGGCTAATATACAAAAAAACTAAGTAGCTTTTTTGATTTTTCTAAGAACTGCTGGCTAGATGCCCCAACTATGTGCAGCAATGCCACTCTTAGTGAAATCTGAATTTCATGCTCCAAATTTTACCAACATTGAAACTAAAAAATTTAACTCTGGAAACCCTAACTTACTACTTTGAATAATTTTAAATTTCACAATTTTTTCACTGCTGTTTAAGATTTTCTATTCTTGCAGTGATCAGTTAAAGTTCTTTATTAATACATATTTCCTTAATCTCATGTAAGCATTTACATAATAAACTAACCTCCTTATATGATTTGCATTTTTAGAACTATAACAAACTACAATACAAAATACTGCTTCAGTAAATTAATATTTAGTGAGTAAAGCTGTTATTTGTGTCATACTAAGTATGTAATACAGATAATCTTAGAAAACATTTAAATTAGGCCCTAAACATTAAAAACTGGTAGAGATGCAGGGTTACTCATTTTTCTAGATATACAATTATTAGCATTTTGTATATTATATATTTTTTAAGTGCAGTATGCCAAAAGTGTATTTTCATCTTACATTCTAAATCAGAAAAATGTCAAGATATGGTTAAAAATTAAAGGCTCTGTACTAATAAATTATGATTACATTCTGTTGTATTGGAAAGTATTGTATTTAAAGTGTCTTATCTTGATCTTTAAAGTCATGTAACATTTTGTCCAGTTTTGCAAATGATAGCGAAAAGCTTTCTAGGTATGTGATGCGATAAAAGATGAGTTTTAAACAAGGATGAAGTAGCAAATAGAGGCATATGTTTATGAAATATACAAATGCCTATGTGTTACAAGATCAGTTGTAAAGGTTGATTTTCAAAGTCTTCTGAGTAGTTTTTTTTTGTTTAACTGACTAAACTGAATTTTTTTTTAGAAATCTAAGATTGTGAATCAGTAATACTGGCAGTGAGAGTGGCAAAAGTCTATTTAAAGCATTTAAATATGAACATGGTATCACAAGTCTTGCTGGTAATAAGTTATAAAAAATTATACAGAGGTTGGAATTCAATTAGGCTTTTTTTGTCCTAGTGTTTAACCAAAGATCTTTTTTTTTTAAGCCATAACACTTTTAACAGTATGAAATGATTTTTGAAAAATTACATCTTATTTCTGTATAGTGTGTAGCTGGTATGTATTCCCAAAGGTTCCCAGAAAATATGCAATCGGAAAACTGCGCAACCAGAGAAATGTGCAAATACAAATTAATTATACTTATACGCTTACATATTGTCATAATGTGGAAATGTTTTATTATGCTACAGTATACAAGTAGTCACTCTTTGTTAATGTTTATAAATGTTCATTTTAAGAAAACAAAAGGCCATTGCTCACTTTTTTTTAGTGCGCAGTTTTCCAGTTGCACATCTTTCCGGTCACCATTCTCAAAGTATGCAATTCATTAATTGTAATATATAAGTTGGGGAGAATTCTAAGGAATGTAAACCAACTAAATCCATACCTTAATGCGAGCACCAGACAGTCGCATTATATTCTTAATATTTTGACCTTTGCTACCAATAACTGCCCCAACAGACTTTTCAGGTATATATAGTTGAACTACTTCTGGCTGTTGCTGAACCTGTGGAGGGCCACTGAAAGCTCCTGGATAATAAGCAGCTCCCTGTAATTCAAGCAGTTACATTTATCATTTCAAGCAACTTCATGCACCAATTTGAACATTTTTAACAATAAGTATTTAAAAATTAACTTACCATATATGGCATTGGTGGTCTCATGGTTTGATAAGGTCCCATTGCAGGCATTAAGGGAAGTCCAGGCATGCCAGGAAACATCATGTGCTGCTGAGCACCATACTGCAAAGGAATTGCAACAATACAAGAACAAGAGTTTCAAATATGCAAAAGTTACCTTATCAAAAGAAAACTATGTAAACTAGGCATTGGAACTTATTTCCTGAAGGCCACAACTTTTTTCTGGTCTATTGTAAAGCAAAACTCTAAAAAAATAATGCAAGACATTAAAAGAATTCTACAAAAAATTTTGAACATCAGAAAATGTATCACATTTTCAAAAACAGATCCTCAATTTCAACTGTCTATTTTGATGGCAAGTAAGCTAGCAAAGTTTTTTACAAGAGTTTCTACAATACAAAGTTAAATCTAAAAGGTAAAAAACAAGCAAAACGGCATATTTACCTGAAATGAACCTGCATCTTGCTCAAAACACTGTCTCATTTTTTCACTTATTTTTTCTTCTGCTTCTGAACAACTATCAGTGGAGCCAGTTATTGTAATTACTCTGTCTACATAGTTGCTAGATGAATCCATAAGCCCTCCAGGAAAGGGATCAAAACTGTCACAGAAAATGGTTTACACCAAAATAGAGATTCTATTTGTACAAAAAATGGTATATATTTTTTAAATTGAATCCTGCATTTAATTAAAAGAAATGTATACAATATGAAAATGATGAAGTTTAAGGACAAATTAAAACAAAAAAATTCACTTCAGTTAGTTACAGACAGTTAGTTACATTTAAACGTAGAACACTTTAAAGTACTATGCATTTTTATATATATATATAGTCCATATATCTAGGATAGCATTTCTACAGACTAGCGACTCCCCACTCCTCATAAAATAAGAATTCTAGACAAAGCATAATGCTACTGGCAATTAAAAACTTATTAGTGTAATAATGGGTAGAGATCGACAGTTTTGTACTATTTAGGTAATTTATTTAGCCTTAGCAAACTGCCTTAATGTTTGCCAAGTTTAAAGACGCTTTACTAGTAATTATTTTTTCAATTAATGTATGTAAGCCAAGTGAGTATATTATGCATCCAGCCAATCCAAATAGCAAAAACAAGCTTTAAAAGTCAGGGGTTCCATTTCTCCCCCTTCAGTCATGTTTATTGAATGGAAAAATGTCCATAAAACCTAAGTATTTTTTTTATTGTAAGCCAAAGTATGGTCATGTTGAATTATAGTAAAAGTAAAAGTTATTGTTTTGTAAGCTACTGTAGATGATGGGTTTAATTGTTTTAAAGAGACATTAAATTTCTAAACCAAAGTTTCACCAGCTTTCACACGGAAGCTTGCCATGAAGTTATTTTACACAGCTATAGATCTAATTCTGTAAGAAACCACCCTAATATTGATGCTTGCAGTCTGCTGGGTTTGATTTGTCTGTGATTTAATTTCCTTTTAATTTTCTCAACCTGCACCAGAAATATTGATGCAAACTAATCAAGTTGAGTGTTATTTTAAAAATCTTAACCATTGATGACCCATAACGCCCGCTGCCCATGATGGCTCGTAACGCCCGCTTACAATACGCATAGAAAAATAAAAATTTTTAGAAGTTAGATAATTTCAGCATCCTTTTCCGGTCTTCTAATTTCAATGGCAATTTCGAAAGATACAAAATATTAGTTTCTTTCTATCCCAACATTTTAGACTCATCTGTCCTATTTTTAGTTGATTTAATATTAATAATAAAATAAAATCTTGCCTATAAACGTATTTAGGCATGTATTTTATGAATTATATATCTTAAACATAACCAAATTGATATTTAACTGTTAAATTTGATGCATAGTTGTTTAGACAAAAATAAGTGAAGTTGACTACCTATAAAATGACGTGTTGGATTTTCTCATTTTTATTTTTATACTGTACTTCTACTGAATATAATATATTCTATTTAATATTGTTGGAAAGCCAGGTTTATTCCCAACATTAAGCAGTAGTTTTTATCTTAATTTTCAATTTCATTTAGACAAAAACAAACATTTCGTGAAACTGTTCACTTGATCATTCAGAGTTATGCTCCTTACATTGGAGCCGTCAAGGGTGGTGTTTTGGGAGAATGAATGGGTCATTAATGGTTAATCACTCACAATCCTGGTGATATTAGCTACACAGAAAATAGCAAACTACTGTATGGGCGTGAGATAAATATGACTGTTCATACATTATCCAGGTTATTGAATAATTTTTAAAACAAGATACATACTTAAAAATCGGTACCTCTTAGAAGAGCAAGTTTATGCTTAATGCACAAGAGTAATAGATTCATACCTTGAAACTACTATATTTGTATTGGTCTTTTCCATAAAAACTTTTATGACATTGCCTTGTTTGCCAATTATTCTTCCACAGATGCTATTCGGACATAAAATTCTAAAAGGGACATCACTGAAAATAGAAACAAACCCAGTAAACAACATATTTTGAGCCAACCAATAAACTTTCTAAAAATTATATTTTTCATAAATGTGTAAAAAACAGCATCCCTGTAAATACACTCTTTAAATCATTTGCTACAAATGGGTTGCCCAGTTCCAAGCTAAGGGAGGTAACCTCCAACAACTATTCTTTGAAAATGTTTTGAAAGAAGTCAATTAATTTAAAAAGGCACAAAATATACTAATTGAATTAATAAAGAAATGTATTAGCTCCAAGAAAATATATAATTTAATATGTTTTTCTAATTGTATTTATCATTTAGAATTAATTTTGTGATGCAACCATCAGGTCTGAGACCACTATGAAATGCCTTAGTATTATTTCTTAATATTTAAAAAATTATGAAGTTACAATAGATTCTGATTTAGAATTTTAATAGCTTAAATATCTAACAATATAGAATCTATTTAACTGATTCTTTAAAACTAACTGAAAACTAAGATAATGCAGAAGCAACCTTTTACACGAAAAAAGTGTAAACATTTTAACAAAAACTCGACTTCGTAAACTTGGTATAAAATTATTTTAAAAATATCAAGAAAAAATAGTGTGCATTTTTGTACTATATTTAGTAAGAGTCAAAAGCGTAGATACGCTATTTGCATGAAAATAATGCAAAAGAAACACGATAGGTAAAATAAAGTAACGGTGATTGCGTCATGTTGCATTGGTAGTGAGGGGGGTATGTCGTATTTGTAGCAAATGAGTTAAGGGCACAATATCTATTAATAAAATTAACTTTTATTTTAAACAAAGGAAAGTAGACATTTAAAGTTGTTTTCCATTATTTAAATTTGGTAAAAAAAAAAAAAATCAATAAAAGAGAAATAATAGTGTCAGTAGAACATCAAATAATTCTAAGGTAAAAGCAACAGTACAATTTTACATAAATAACATAAGTCATAGCAAAAACCAATTTATACTGTCACCGAATAATGGAACAACATGGAAAGGAATAAATTAATTTACCCTCGGTTTAATGAGTCTGCTTCTTGTCTAACAACAGTCATTATTTCCTTGCAAGCTTTTGAACAACTCTCTGGTGAACCTTTGATTGTTACAAGCTGTAGTAAATATAAAATTGTTAATAAACTTTTAAAATCTACAACTAACATTCACAATGATTAAATAAAATTAATACATTGCAGCACAACCAATAGTTGAGCTGCTTAAGTATTACTAATTAGATTTTAAAACTTACTGTGTCAGGAACATGACTTTCCCTCCTATGTATATCCACTCTGAAATAATGAAAATTTTATTAGATTACTTTAGAAAATCAAATCTACACAGAAATAACTTTCTTAAATATAAGTGAATCAAATCATTACCTAGCTCTGCTCTCTGATGTTATCTTTCTTATAGTTTGACCTTGCTTTCCAATAATTGCTCCTACATAGTCACTGGCAACTACAATGCTTTAGGAAAATATGAAGTACAGAAATTATGGTACAAGTTAACACTTAGTTAATGCTGCTAATCAGAATAGAATTAACCAGTTAATTGTTAAGTAAAGATAAATACTATACCGTAAAGGAAGATCTTGTCGAGCAAGGCCAGAGTTACTGTTGGAATTGCTTCTGTTTGATCGACGTTGATTTCGGAAAAAGTCCACCTATATTTTTATTTTAAAATGGGCACTATACATTTATAAAAAAAATTTAAGTGGAAACCTACACATGCGTTTTGTTTCATAATTAATAACTTATTAACTAAATTTGATTACCAATCTAAATACGATTGACAGTAAGAAAAAAGTGTTTACAACAAAAGGCACATAGGAGCTAAACATTTATGTCTAGTTTTAAAAATAAAAAAAGCTATAAAACTGAATAGCAGACTGCTAGAAACATTATTTGGAACAAAAATTACTGTTCATAATCGGTGACAAAAGAACAGATGCATGCTAAAAAATAAACTAATTTAATGAGCCAATAAAATCGGATTAGATAACAAAATGTTGCTAAAAATTGCTTTTTTTTCCTGAATATTAAGATTAGGCAATGATTTGCTTATGCAGGGTTGGGGATAAATGGTAGATAATAACAGAGAAAATTGGTAAAGGTTGTTTGAGAACTTGTAATTGTTAAGAAAGACAACATGAATGCTTTGTGGTGTAGTGTGAGTATAACACAATAAGTGCAGAATGACATAGTAGTAAAAACAACGGCAACAGTTGATAGACAGGAAACATTTATTTTTAGTGTTGACAAAAACAAGGATTAACAAATTAGTTATTTGTATTGCAAATTAATGTTACACGTATGAAAAGTGAAAGATAGCTGCGGAAAATCCTACCTTTATTTGTGTACCATCTTCAAACCGATAATCATTCAGCTGCTCAACACACCTAATTTTCAAAAGAGATCAATGTGAACCATATTAAAAAATGTGTTTCTGCTGTGCTTAGAAAATACTTATGTTAGCTTTAAGATTATAAGATGGTATTTAGCCACTGTAGTAGAACTGTAAAAACTTACTCCTCAGCCTCCTCAGGACTGTTGAATGTTACATACATTATTCCTTCAGAGCCAACTATAATTTAAAGAACAAAACAAGCTTAGTTAAGGTTCTTTAAATCATTTTAAGAAACATAGTTAACAGAGGAAAAGTGTTGTGACAACAGTGCTTGCACAACCAAAAAAAAGTACATTGAAGAACTTTAAATGTTAGTAATTTCTGCAGTGCTCATTGGAAGAGTTTGCTTTTTTACAAAATGTGTGGCTTTAAGAATGTTTTTTTCAAATTAATATAATCTGTTAAATGTCTAACCATATGCTAATTTCTCTAATATACACTAAAAACACAAAATTATTTCAGCCTAAAAAGACCTATTTGAAAAATACATTTTCATCCAGGAATTTAAAAAATTTATTTCAATAATCTTAATAGCTATTAATTTTTTTTTTTAAATCAAGCCAACTAAAGATTAAGAATGTTAAATTAATTTTAAAGCTACATAGAATATTACCTTGTTCAAACTTTTTAGGGCATCTTGATGTAACATTCACAAGTTCTTCAATCTGTTCCTTAGAACAATGTGGAGGTAAGTTGCGGATTTGTATCTTGTTGCTCCTCCGACTGTAAAAGTTGAGGACATTTTATAAGCAATATTTGAAAAGACTTTCAATTTTAATTAAAAATAAGTATTTAAAAGCCTGCTATTAAAAGTAGCTATAACAGTGCCAAAGTAAATACCTTCTCCTTCCATTTGATGGCTCAGCCTGCATTACAGATCCTTCAAGATTATAACCTGTTAAAAGGAAATGAATTCTGAAATCAAAACTAAAATCTATAAACAAATGAATTTTGTAAATCTCCAGCTTTATTGGCCAAGTCCTGCATTGTCAACACACTGAACTACGATACTACTTTTTTAGTTTGAGTCCTAAATCTCACAACCTTGGCAGACAGATAAATCGGTTTGAGACACCTTACCAAACATCAACATTCTGTATATAAAAATGCTATATTAAAAAAATGTCATAACCAGTACTATTTAACTCATGGTAAGTTCCTATCATGGCTGTAACTACAAACTAAATTATTTGTTGTGTTTATCAGTTGTTTTTTATAATGAAAAGAAGGTTTTGAAATGCAAACAATTGGCATTCTACTCCATAACTACCAATGTCGGAGACAATGATCTTCCTGCTGGGGGGACGGGTGTACTAAAGAGAAGTACTGTCAGTGATTTTATGTATTGATGTCCATTAGAATAAAAAATAAGCTTGTTTTTATATCAGCAGTAAATGAGAGCAATGTGCGTATTGTAACCTCAGGAGATAAGGGTACAAAGGGTTAATGATTAAGTTAATGGCACATTTTTAATGCAGTGGGAGATCTGAGTGCACAAAAAGTCAAGCCTATTTTTTACTCCATCAAAGCATGGACAAACTACAGACTGATGAGACTTTTCATTTTTTAAATTAAGTTTCTTTTATGAGAGTTTGTGGGTTAAGGAATGTACATGTGAATTAGTCATGAGTGAGGGAAGGGTAAAAATATTCCCACACATTATATAGGCTATATGGAACAAACTTTTTAAAGCAACCAAATTCCTACTGTCCTTATGGTGTTACATTAAGTGCAAGCCTATGAACATAGGAATAATAAAGATGTGCCTTTACTTATTCATATGCATGCAAAGGCTGTCCTTGTCTTATGGTGCCAAGAAAGGCACAACTGAATACAATTTTGACTGGATTAGTCAACTTTATGTGTTAGGACCAATAACCCGAGTCTTCAAGTTGGTCTTACAAGGTTCACCAACACTGCATGTGAGCTCTGTGGTTGATGTCTTCATGTTCCAGTCAAAGGCAAAAATTAGCAGCAACACTGAAACTCCATTTTACATTCAACAAATGATGATACAGTACTTGATAAGTTGTCTTTTATTTCAGACACAACATTGTTTTTATCTGTTTTACTAATTTTAAAGATTCACATGTTTAAAATTTTACCTTTTCTGGTTACATTCATGCATTATCGAAGACCGTGTACAGGTGCAGATCTCAAGATGGGTACTTCATTAATCATACAGCTTGTGCTATAACTACATTTTCTAAAAGGGTGCCAGTCCAGATGATGCTATGAACACACAATATAAGGTTTTTCCTACTGGCAAATAGGTTAGGCCCACCAGTTAGGGAGTTCATATTTTTTGTTAGACTTTATACTCTTGCGTCCATACGCAAGCAGATCCAGTACTTTAGACTTTTAGACCTAGTCTTAAGAATAGGCCTAGATCTAGGCCTTTGAGTTAATAGGCCATTTTTTTTAAACTAGAGATCTAGATTCCAGATCTATTAGATTATAGATTAGCCTAATTTTAACTTATTGTCTAGGCCTATTTAAAAATCCATTATTTTATCAATATCAAGGAATTTTTTCAGCAGGACAAATTGAACTGATTCAGTGATTAGGCCTACAGAATAGATCTAAATCTATATTTAGACTCTAAATAGTTTGTAATAGTATAGATCTAGATCTCTATATTCTATAATAGGCCTACTCTATATTACTAGATCTAGATCTATGGGTAGACCCTATATATTTCTATAAAATATCTAGATCTAGCTCGACATGGACTTTGATTCCTAGCCTAAGAATTTAACTAAGTTTCACATTTAGGGTAAAACTCCATTTTAGCGTATTTTATTCCCCGCTTCACGTTCACCTCCAATTGAGCGTATTTTATTATAAACACAACCGAAACACACAAAAAACGTTAGGAAATCACTCTGCCTAGCCTATTGAATTCTTTTTTAATTTTTGGTTTAGTTTTTTAATTAATTTTGTCAATACTTGGGAAAAAATACAAAACTTGGAATATTTATTAATATTTAATGTGTAGGCCTAGGCCTACTATTTATTTAGATCTAGATTTAACTTTTTTTCCTTGAAAATATGTTGGCGTCAGGTAAGATTTTCATGGCAATGGTCAGTTAAGATTTTCATGGCAATGGGTAGGATAGAAACGCACAATTGCAAGGCATGATTCTATAAATTAACTTACATGAACTCACAATGACCCTGATCTATGACGTATGTTGATAATTAAAGTCAGTGTGAACTCACAGTGAACCCTTGACCATGTAGGGATTTTCCTCCTGCCCACGATCACACGCTATTTAGATCTAGTTGAAACTGTAGGCCTAATGCTTATTTAATATTATTTATAATCTTTTTTTTACCTTTTCTAATTAAAACACACATTAATAAAAAATAAGTAGAATCTAGTGACTAGTCTAGATCTAGATCCATATCCATCACCTACTAATCCTAGTGTTTTCCTAACTTTTTTTGTGTGTTTAGAGGTGTATATAATAAAATACAGTTGAATACGCTCCACCGGAGGTGAACGTGAAGCGGCGAATAAAATACGCTAAAATGGAGTTTTACCCACTACCTAGTTTGTTAATGTTAAGTTAGCAAAGCCTGCATGCATTTTATTTGTATTTATCATTTTATTTACCGTTGAGTTTCTTGACTACTTCTTCCACGGAGAGTTTGTCTTTTACCGTTACAAATGCAAAATTTCTTTTCATTGAAATATTGTTGAAAAGGATTCCTTGTTGTTCAAGCAACTTGCGTATTGTTCCTTCGTTAACGTCTCCTGCCAGATTACCAAGAAACACTTTCTCCATCATCACAGGGCGAAGATGAGTAAAGAGCCGCGACCTTTCGCTTAATAGTGCAATGTCTCCACAGAGAAACACGGTTAGAGTACTATTTCCCCAAAAGCGATTTCTAACGGAAGTAATTGACTGGCGCATTAATACACAAGGGGTCATTAAAATGGGTAAATCAGATCGATTTAAAAAAAAATTATTAATTACAAGTAATATTATTCGATGTTGCTTCAATAAAACAATTCATAAATTTTAGGAATTAGTTATAAGCGCCCGAAGGTATAAATGACTACATCCTCGATCTAAAGTTTAAAATAATTATTAATATTTTACACCCCTATTAAAATGGGCACATACGAAAAAAGTCGTTTATATCTTTTTTAATCTTCTATTCGCGATGGACACGTGTTTTCAGGGGAGAAAATTTTATTTTGTCCCCTTACAATACACGACAGGCTGCATTAAAAAAAATTTCGATACGCATTTAAATTATCAAGAAATAGTTATTTACTTCAAAAAGCTTTTAAAAATCTAGTGATTAATAAACCCTTGTTTTGCTATAAGGACATAACTTATGTTTCTTTCAGACATTTTTCCTTTTGGAGGGGCATTTAAAACGTTCATGGGGGACGGGGGAAGGACAATGGTTAAAAGTATTTAAGTATCAGCAGAGGCATAGCGATGGGAGGGAGGGGGCAGGGGGGGGGGGACATATGTCCTCGGACGCCGACCTTAGGGGGCGCCAAAATGAGTTGTAAAAACAAATTAAAATGTCCTTTTAGCTGCATTTTTGCAGTTTGAGGGGGTGGTGAAGGGTGTGCAAATCGAAAGTTTGAAAGTTTGAGGGGGGGGGGGTGCAAATCGAAAGTTTGAGTGGGATTGCAAATTGAAAATTTGCTCCCCGGGCGCCGGGAAGGGTCGCTACGCCTCTGAGTTTCAGTAATGTATAGGAGGCAGAGTTTCTTCCAGGCATCTCTTGGGGGGGGGGGGGCTAAGCCCCCCCGAAAAATTTTTACCGCCCCCCCCCCCGAACGAAATGAAATTTATATAATTTATATAGAAAATATATACTTTTAACAGTGTCCGCCCCCCCCCCCCCCCCCGAAGAAAGTCTACCGCCCCCCCCCCGAAAATTTCAAGTGCCCCCCCCCCCCCCGGAGAAAAAAGTCTGGAAGAAACACTGGTAGGAGGGAGGGGGGGGGCACCCCCATGGACTCATCTCTACAAAAATGTTATTGTCATAATGCCACTGGAACTTATTTAAATCTACATCTGAATCAGTATATATGTATAATTTTATACTTAAATTATGTATGTTTAGAACAGCCATCTAAAAACTTACGCTATGTCATGTTCACTCTGAATTGGTTATTCCCCCCCCCCTTTCCCCCACCCCACCTCACCATCAGAATAGAGTTTCTTCCAGGCATGTTAACGCCAACCTATGTTATTATCAACATTCAGTTTATTTCTTAATTTTGTTTTTAATAGGAGAATAGTATTGAAAACATATTTTAGAAAAGTCAATCAAATTTACGTTTGGGTATGAATGGTGAATGCTACACCAAAATTGTGCCTTCAGTTTTTCATCTTACGCGGAATCATTCTGCAAATCAAAGAATTCATCTTGTAATTCATCGTGAATGCTGGCAACATCAAGGGAAGTAGAGAATGGGTAATGCGTCAATGCAGATTCTTCTTTCACTCAGTGAAATAGCGCCGCTGTTCGTTTTCAAGAGATTCACGATACTCAGAAATCGCTTCTTTCAAAATGTTAATTATCTCACAATCAGATTCATCTACCACACTGCAGAGTTTCTCAAATTTTCAAGATTTATTTTCTTCGCCAATTTTGCAGCTTTGATAAAAATGCCCCCAGATTATTATGGAAAGTGATAATATTCGTTCATTTTCCTTGAAGCTTCAGGTTAAGCGTTTTTTGATGTTCGAATATATCTGCTAGGTATGATACTCTCCCCAACTACTCTTTGTCGTTTTAAGTATACCAAAAGGTCTTGTTTTCTTTTGCACTTCCAAGAATAATTTGATTTCAGATTTCAATTCAAAAACACGATTCACAACATTTCGTTTGACAGCCAGCGTACTGTAGTGTAGAAAAGCAGACCCTCGTGATCTATATTAATGTCGTTGCTCAGTTTTTTTTTAAGGCTCCGGATTAAATTTAATTGACGACTTTTACTAGCAATAGAGTCGGAAGCGTCTTGATGGCGAAGGCATGCTGAATCATGCAGTGTTTATGGAGCTAAATCTTTTCTGTTTTCTGAAAGCCCGATTTTGACCTAAACATAGATGGCGCACCATCCGTACAAACCCCCACAGCCGTTTTAACCCATTTTAGTCATCCCGTTTCAAAAAAACTTATTTATTTTCTCCATGCTATCTTCACAAAATAGCAACTCTTCTTTGCTATCATCTGAATGAATATAGAAAAAGACAAGCAACTGCGAATATCGAAATAACGTCTGTTGATTTATCAACTTGAAAGCAAACAATGGTGACAGCTTGATTTCTTTAAAAATGTGTTAGTTAACATCTACGGACGTGTCTGCTATAAGCCGCTGAATAATATTATTAGGCTGAGATATTTGTTGCATCTTTACTGCACTGGAGTCCCCAAAAAGTAACTTCACCATCTTCAACATGCAGGGTTTGATGAGATTTTCTCCTATTGTGTTTTTTTCTTGGCGTTTTCTATCTATTTGATGCTTGCACTAATGCTGTGTTTCCATGGTGAAAACTTCCTGTTCAATCAAATCTCTGACGTTTGCAATTAGCTTCACGCGGACGAAAGAACTCCTTATCTTTTTTGGTGTGTTCCGAATGACTCGTCTCAAATGACGTTTTAGTTTTGAAGATTTCATAAACTCGTGACTGAGAACAACTTTGTACAGTACGCATTGCTTCTTCTCTATTCCATTTCCAGTGATGTTTAGTATACCAGTTGGCGACCCCCCAGAAAGCCCTTTGCGACCCCCAAGTGGGTCGCGACCCCCAGTTTGGGAACCCGTGATTTAGAGGAAGGTGATACCATTTAGAGGAGGGTAATATCATTTAGAGGAGGGTGACACCATCTAGTAAAGGGTGACACCATTTAGTGAAGGGTGATACCATTTAGTAAAGGGTGATACCATTTAGTAAAGGGTGACACCATTTAGTGAAGGGTGACACCATTTAGTGAAGGGTGACACCATTTAGTGAAGGGTGACACCATTTAGTGAAGGTTGATACCATTTAGTAAAGGGTGACACCATTTAGTGAAGGGTGACACCATTTAGTGAAGGGTGACACCATTTAGTGAAGGTTGATACCATTTTGTGAAGGTTGATACCATTTAGTGAAGGTTGATACCATTTAGTGAAGGGTGACACCATTTAGTGAAGGTTGATACCATTGGGCAGCGGCCAAACTCCGGCAAGCTGCCCCGCACACCCACACAGTTTTGGGCAGCGGCCAAACTCCGGCAAGCTGCCCCGCACACCCACACAGTTTTGGGCAGCGGCCAAACTCGGGCAAGCTGCCCCGCACACCCACACAGTTTTGGGCAGCGGCCAAACTCCGGCAAGCTGCCCCGCACACCCACACAGTTTTGGCCTCCTCAAGTTTCCCAACAGCCTTCCTGTCTTCAACGATATCTCCCTGTTGTCGGCATCTGAAAGTTAAAACACATTTCAGGTAGTTTCACTTTATTTATCGTGACCTTTGTAAAAAAATGTGGAACAACTTATATTTTGTCGGCATCTGAAAGTTAAAACACATTTCAGGTAGTTTCACTTTATTTATCGTGACCTTTGTAAAAAAATGTGGAACAACTTATATTTTGTCGGCATCTGAAAGTTAAAACACAGGTAGTTTCACTTTATTTATCGTGACCTTTGTAAAAAAATGTGGAACAACTTATATTTTGTCGGCATCTGAAAGTTAAAACACAGGTAGTTTCACTTTATTTATCGTGACCTTTGTAAAAAAAATGTGGAACAACTTATATTTTGTCGACAAGTAACCAACACTTAACTAAGCCTAACCTAAATAAAATTTAAATGTGGGGGCTCTTAAATCAGGGGCTTTGGGCTGCTGCCCTTTCAACCCCTCCCCTTTATCCACCACTACCCATAGTCTATCTTATAAAAACTGGCTTCCTATTAAATTGTTGTTTGGGTAAGGCGGAGACAGTTAAAGGTATTCAGATAAAATACCATCCTTCTTAATGAAAATAAAAGATGTGATACGCAGTTGTGGGGAGGGAGAGGTTGTGGGGAGGGAGAGGTTGTGGGGAGGGAGAGGTTGTGGGGAGGGAGAGGTTGTGGCAAAATTGGGGGATCGATAGGGGTTTATGTCCCTCAGGTTTTAAAGGAAGAGGGGGGGGGGGTTTGATCGGGGAGGTAGTAAGGTAGGGAAAGGAGGGGGGGGGGGGGGTCTAAGCGTGGGGTGGCTATTGGATTTGGTATGTAAGCATAGAGGGGGGGGGGGGTGGAATGGTGAGTTTAGTTGTGGTCTGTGGAGATTTTACACCATCGTTGTTCGTGTCACCTACCATCACCATCCCGCCCTCGTTGTTCGTATAACCCACCATCACCATCCCAACAGCCCCATCTCACCAGCACCATCCCACCAGCCCCATCTCACCAGCACCATCCCACCAGCCCCATCCCACCAGCCCATCCCACCAGCACCAACCCACCAGCCCCATCCCACCATCACCATCCCACCAGCCCCATCTCACCAGCACCATCCCACCAGCCCCATCCCACCAGCCCATCCCACCAGCCCCATCCCACCAGCACCATCCCACCAGCACCAACCCACCAGCACCATCTCACCAGCACCAACCCACCAGCCCCATCCCACCAGCACCAACCCCATCTCACCAGCACCATCCCACCAGCACCAACCCCATCTCACCAGCACCATCCCACCAGCACCATCCCACCAGCACCAACCCACCAGCACCATCCCCATCTCACCAGCACCATCCCACCAGCACCATCCCACCAGCACCATCCCACCAGCCCATCCCACCAGCACCATCCCACCAGCACCATCCCACCAGCCCATCCCACCAGCCCCATCTCACCAGCACCATCCCACCA